ACCAAGCCAGCAGCACTGCAATGGAAGCACGCCCTTCAACCAGCTCCAGAGCCAGAGGGCAGCTCAGACTTCATGGCCCAGTCACCCTTAGCCGCTCTGCTCAGGGTCGCGCTGACACGAGGAAATGAAGCTGCAACTCCCAGCCATGGTGTGGTATGACAGAGCCCAGATTTCCCCACACAAACGCTGGAGGCTTACTGAGCCCCACCCTCTGCTCCAGGCAGCTGCGTTTATTAGGCCTTTGAAAGAACAAAGCACAGCTAGGACCTCTCTGCCTGGAGCGACAGGCTAGGTGCCCTGGTAGCAAACACCATCTCAGCCTGGTCAATCCGTCTCCCCATCCCTTCCCGGGTAATCGCAGCCAGGGCTTGTCTTTGTGGCCTCCCGTCTCTCTCCCCAGGAAAGGCAGCAGGTTAGATATTCCCGGCTGGGTTCGTGGGGAGAGTAAGAGAGGCTGCCCACCAGGAAAAGCCATTCTCCTACCGCTGAATCAATCCCTGCAGTACGTTCATGATGCCCCAAGGAGCAGGGGAGGCAGCGTGTCGGGCGAGTCCCTGGTGCTGGCGCATCCTGGAAGATGCAGTCCAGCCTGGGAGTTCAGCCCACAGAGGAGAATGGGGACATGACATAACTAAAGCAAGACGTGAGAAGTAATTCTTCCACTCAGCACTGGTGAGGCCTCAGCTGGAGTTCTGTGTCCAGTTCTGGGCACCACGCTTCGGGAAAGACGTGAGCAAACTGGAGAAAATCCAGAGGAGAGCAACAAAAATGATTAAAGGTCTAGAAAAGATGACAAGGAAAGATTGAAAAAACTGGGTTTGTTTAGTCTGGAGAAGAGAAGACTGAGAGGACACGATAACAGTCTTCAAGTACATAAAAGGATGTTTTAAAGAGGAAAGTGATAAATTGTTCTCCTTAACTATGGAGGACAGGCCAAGACGTAATGGCCTTAAATTGTAGCAAGGGAGATTTAGGTTAGACTTTAGGAAAAGCTTCCTGTGAGGGTACAGTAGTTAAGCACGGGAACAAGTTGCCTAGGGAGATTATGGAAACTCCATCACTGGAAGTTTCTAGGAACAGGTTAGACAAACACCGGTCTGGGACGATCTAGATAATACTTAGTCCTGCCTCAGAGCAGGATCCTGGACTAGATGACCTACCGAAGTCTCTTCCAGTCCTACATTTCTATGATAAACTACAATTCCCATAATGCACTGTGGTAGCATATCCAAATTGAAATATTTCTGGTTGTAGCCCTTCTGGTTTTCAATGAAAAGAAAAAAATTATTTTGTCAAAAATCCCAATTTTCAGTCAAAAACCAGTGTTGATGGACATTTTTCAACCAGCCCTACTCACAGATGCTAAGTGACATTCTGTCCCTGTCATGCTGGGTCAGTCTCCGGAGTGAAAGTCTCAGTGTCCCATTCCCAGCCCCCTCACGCCCCTCCCCCGATATCAAACAAGCCAGCCCTCAACATCACTGCGCTAACACTCACAGCAAAGGAAGCTGCAGTTATCTAAGACAGGGAAGGGACACATGGTGGAGTGATTACATAGGTGCCTGCTTTCAAAATACTCTGCAACCCTTATTACAAACCTGCAGCAGAAATGGGAACAGGTCAGGGAATTCCTCAGTGGGGGGTGTAATTTATAAGCAGAGGCTGAAGCCCCTAATTTATTCCAGATTGAAGCAGGTATATTTTGCTGTGGGTTCATCCCATCGTCACCGGATGATCAGCTGTGTCTTTCCCAAAAGCCCAAGGTGTGCGGAGCAGGAAAGCACGTTGCTGCATCTGGGAAGGTCGTGTTCTCAGCTACAAAACTGCTGATGAGGGGCGTCTGTGAGCGTTAATCAGCCTATAAATGACAGCTTTTTCCTGGTACTCCTCCACATCTGCTCTTAGCTCCCCTCTCCCACAGGTACTTATGTTAAATAACTCCCAGACTAGAAGGGTACTTAAGTTTATGGCAGCGGCTAGCCTCTCTTCTGCCTGCGTGTGCAAGTTTGCCTACTCACACCTGGACAGACACATGCTCTTTGCATGGCGGTAGGGAAGTTTACTGGCTGGTGGGCTGAGATTCTTTGCTGAGGTTTCGGAAAGCTTGTTAGCCTCGTCTGAGGCTGAGCGTGGAGCAAGCTCATGGATCGGGGCACAAGGGGAGCATCAGATCTTCTGTGGGCTAGGTGCCGACATGGGGAAACCGTGAGCATGGTGGCAATTTGTGAGGCTGGTTCTGCGGGACACTTGTGAGCCCCACAAAATTCCTGAATGATCTCCCACAATGTCTGGTTAGTCTCCTACACAAGTCCCATATCCAGCCGTCTGCGAGAGGGTGCGCCTTTCTGTCTTGTGGTCAAGGACTCTTCTGTTTTCCCACCATAGCGAAGAAGTTTTTTCCCACCCAAGGTTTGGGATTCCCAGTATGAGAGCAGCATGCTTTTGAGGTTGAGATAACAGTCCAGTTTTGGGCCCCACACTACAAGAAGGATGTGGAAAAATTGGAAAGAGTCCAGCGGAGGGCAACAAAAATGATTAGGGGGCTGGAGCACATGATTTATGGGGAGAGGCTGAGGGAACTGGGATTATTTAGTCTGCAGAAGAGAAGAGTGAGGGGGGACTACCTGAAAGGGGGTTCCAAAGAGGATGGATCTAGACTGTTCTCAGTGGTAGCAGATGACAGAACAAGGAGCAATGGTCTCAAGTTGCAGTGGGGGAGGTTTAGGTTGGATATTAGGGAAAACTTTTTCACTAGGAGGGTGGTGAAGCACTGGAATGGGTTACCTAGGAAGGTGGTGGAATCTCCTTCCTTAGAGGTTTTTAAGGTCAGGCTTGACAAAGCCCTGGCTGGGATGATTCAGTTGGGGATTGGTCCTGCTTTGAGCAGGGGGTTGGACTAGATGACCTCCTGAGTTCCCTTCCAACCCTGATATTCCATGATTCTATGAAAGGCAGTTGAAGCCAAATAGCATCACGAGTGGTTGAACTGATGACTGTAAGCAGGGCCGGCTCCAGGCACCAGCCGACCAAGCACGTGCTTGGGGCGGCACCTGAGAAAGGGCGGCCAATGTTGGGGTGGCAGGGGGCGCTCGCGGTATTTTTTGTTGTTGTTGTTGTTGTTGGTCGGGGCGGCGGTTGAGGGGTTTTTCGTTTCTTTTTTTTTCCGGCCGGGCAGCGCGGGGGGTGTTTCGGCGGCACGGCGCTGGGAGGGGAGGGGGAAGGGGAGATTCAGCGGTGTGGCCCGGCGCTCTGGGGGTTTGGGCGGGGCGGCGAGGCGCTGGGAGGGGGCGGGGATTTGGCCGGCCCCGCGCTCGGGCGGCGGGGGTTTGGCCGGCCTGGCGCGACGCTCGGGGGGTTTGGGCGGCCCGGCCCGGCCCGGCGCTCGGGGGGCGGGGCGGGGTTTGGCCGGCCCGGCCCGGTGCTCGGAGGGCAGGGCGGGGTTTGGCCGGCCCGGCGAGGTGCTGGGGGGGGCGGGGTTTTGGGCGGTGCGGCGCTCTGGGGGTTTCAGCAGCCCGGCGCAGCACTGGGGGGGTGGGATTCGGCGGCCCGGCCCGGCACTTGGGAGGGGGGTTTGGTGGCTCGGCGCTCCGGGGGTTTGGGCGGCGCAGCGTGGCACTGGGGGGGGGGGGTCAGCGGCGCGGTGCTGGGGGGTGTGTTACGGCGGGGCGGCGCTCTTCTTTTTTGCCTGGGGCAGCAAAAAAGTTAGAGCCGGCCCTGACTGTAAGTGCCTTGGGATGACTACATTTGGTCCTATCCTGTGTGAAAACAAACTGATTATCTGACATTTCTCAAGCTGTTACTAGTATTTCTCCCCAATGTGCCTTTACGTTCCATCTAAGCAGTTGAAGTCAATATTTAATAAAAGTTTGAAAAGTGCATATTTCTATAAGGCTTCAGCAAACGCTTTTTCTTCTGAGATCTAAGCAATTGCTAAGCTTTCCCTAAGCACCAAATGTTGATGATACTTTATCGCTGGCTACAAAACACGTGTATAATGTAGCACTCCATTTTACTTCCCATAAGCAAGCCTGTAACTATAGCATGTACATAGAGGGGTTCTGAGCTACTTGGCAATTACACTTTAACTTACTAATCAACACCAACCAATAAACTGCCAACTAATTTGCAGATGTAAGTTTCCATTTAGAAGACAAATAACATGTAAGCCCCCAGTTAATGTAAGGGATGCTTCCCAGTATGAAATTACAAGGCATCCGTTTGCCATATAATTACAGATTGTAGAGTGTTTACTGTTTCTCAGTGCCTGTGAAATAAATGTATTCCATCTGGAGTGGAGCAGTCATTGGAAGCAGTATCATTTTCCTAGACTGTTCAATATACTGTAAATTATGTCTTTACATTCCAATTGCACAGTAAAAAGAATCTAGAAAGTACCAAGTAGGTTTAGAATTATTACAAAGCCACTGATCATTTCATCTCTCACACACACACAGTGCTGAGATCAGAACTGTTGTACGTCACCTCCCAAACCCAGAGTGGTTAGGAAAGTTTTTGGTCAAAGTTTCTTTCCAACAAAAAAAGGCTTTTTGACAAAAAACGAAAAGTTTTGAAGAAACTTTGGTAGAAATTTTCCAGTTTTTTTTTTTAAATGAAAAACCAGAAACTTTTTGGTACACATTTTCATTAAAATATGTGAGGTTTCCGTTTGCAAAACCAGAACATTTTTACACAAAACAGTTTTCAGAAAATGAAAACGTCGTGGTTTTTCATTGAAACACTGAAAAAAAATTGTGGAAAATTTAGAAAGAAAAACAATTTCAAAAATTCATATGACAAATAATTAGCATTTTTTAAATCAGCTCGATTCAAAACACTGGTTGCTACCATTTGAGCTAAAGGAGATCTCCTTTATGTGGCAGCAATAGTAGGTCTTTTATCCAGATCGTCTTGGCCTGGCCACTAGAGAGTGGCATTGCTCATTCTCACACACACATAAATACAAACAGCCTATAAATGTATAGTGAATGTCGACAGCTTACAGTACAACGAGGCTGCTGAGGTTCTGGAAGGCGTAGTCAGGAATGTGCCAGATCAGGTTGAGAGCCAGCGTCATGGCCTGCAGGGCTGGAAGGTTGTTGAGAGCTTGGACAGGGATCTCTGTCAGGGCATTATCATCCAGCCACAAGTGACGTAAGGAGGGCAGTCCCTCAAAGCTCTTCTTGGGCACCACGGAAATCAGGTTTGCATCCAGGCGTCTGGGGGAAAGAAACAGTGCAGATGAGTAAGAGGTTCACCAAGCGTTGCATGATGTGCCTCTATTGTTAGTTAAGTGGGTTTCTTGCTGCTGACTCATGAGAAATTGACAGCCCTGGAGATGGAGATGGTCTGTAAAAAGCAATTAAAGCAAGGGGAAGCCACAGTGCAATGTTCCAAGCCCTGCCCAGGACAGGTGCTGCAACCGTGACCTAGCAGCACCTCTTATGGGACCTTGAGGGTAGTTCATTTGTGTAGCCCATTCAAACCTTTGCCCCTCCCATGGTTGCCAACTGCCAGTTCTGATGGTGTTTCTAACAATGTAAATGGACTAAGACCCATCATCTTATTTCATATAGACTCGCCGAACAGCCGCCAGCCAGGAATGACTGAATTCCTAGAGTCCTGGATTAGATATGAATGCCTGACCCAGAAACCAAAGACAAAGAGGGAGGAAGCATCAACGGTGAGCATCCATCAGACCATATCTCAGAAGATGCTCTCTGGGTCACAGGAGTTCAGGTCTTAGTCCAACTACTTTTTACAGTCATGAAAATCCAATGACTGGAGCTGGTCAGAACCTGGAAATTCTGTTCCATGAGAAATTCTGCCTTTGAAATTTGATTTTGTTCCAAATTTCCCCAGGAACAAAAATTCTGAAAGATTTCCATTCAGAATAATTCAAAGATTTTGTTTCAATAATGTCAAACTGTTTCATTTCAATAAGGTGCAAACATTTCGTTTTGATAATGTCAAAACATCATAATATAAAATGTGGAACATATGTATTATACTGAATATTATCTGTAACTATAATATAATATTAAAATTAATTTTTAATTGGATATTAAAGTCAAAACGAAATGACTCAAAATGATAAAGTCAAACCAAACCTTGTTGAAAAGTGAGAAGATCGAAATGATTTGTTTCAACTTTTTCCTGTCAAAAATTTTGTTGAAATTGACATGTTCCTGTGACATGTTTAAATTCTGACAAAATCGTGTTTTCCGATAGAAAACTGTTCCGTCAAAATTCTTCCGACAAACTCTACCAACAGCAAAAATCTACCAAAAATCAGTGATATCCTCCAAGTTCACCTTAGCTGTAATGAGATTCACTCTTTTACCCATAAGAAATAAGCAGGATAGTTTAATGTGTCTTGCTGCCTAGGAACCGATATGATAAATGACTATGGACAAATTTCTGCCCTAGTTTATACCCTGTTAACACAGTTACATGGAGTATAATTCAGGGCAAAGTTTGGCACATTGTTTTTTCTTCAAGACATCAGGACACCAAAATTTACTGAAACACACGTTGTGTTTAAGAAAACCTGGTCAAAATTTTTCATCAAAACATTTTTGGACAATTACTAGCTTTTTAATCAGAACAAAATTTTTTGTGGCAATTTTGGTTTTGTTGAAAATTTCTGTTTTTGGGGGGGGGGTGGGGAGGAGGGGCTAAACAATGGAAACGAAGAACTGTCATTTTTTTTGGTACAGTGTTTTCATTTTCAGTAAGAGAAATATCATTGCTTGGTTTTTTTTGGAAACCAGATCTCTTTTACCCCTTACCATACCGCTTTATTGAAACGGTTTTCAAAAGCTAATCTTTTTCACATTACATTTTCATAGAAAAAGAAATTTCACAGCGAGTTTAAAAAGACTATACATTTTTTAAAATTTCCAGGGAAAAAGAATTTACATTTTTTGCCCCCTTCTAGCTTTAAGCCTTAAGAAAGGAAGAAGCTGAGACAGAGGGTGGACTATCCCTCAGAACATACGGGGAAGTACCCTGAGAGGAGGATGGTGTTGTGGTTAAAGAAATGAGCTGAGTCTCAGAAGATCTGGCTCCAAATTCCACCTCTGTCACAGACTTCCTGTGTGACTTGGGGCAGTGCCTTTGTAGAAGGAGGATGATAATCCTGATTTGACTATGTAGTTTGTAAACTCCGCGGGCCAGGGACAGCCTCTTACAGTGTGTAGACAGCTGCTAGGATTCTGATTCCTATTGGAGTCTCTACTACTAATTTAATCGGAATGGTCCTTGTGTACGTGAGCCTTGGCTGGCAGAGTTAAGCCCAGTTCTACACACGATAACACGGTGCGTGGGGATTTCACCATCCTTTGCCTTTCGGTGGTACTGAGGGGAAACACTGATTGGCTGCTAGCTAGGGATGGTGGTGAGACAGCTGCAGACGCTACCCTGCCAGGGCTGGCTCTAGCGTTTTTGCCGCCCCAAGCAGCAAAAACAAAACAAAACAAAAAAAGCCGCGATCACAAGCAGCGGCAGCTCTACCGCCGCTTCATTCTACGGCGGCAGGTCCTTCGCTCTGAGAGGGAGTGACGGCCCCGCTGCCGAATTGCCACCAAACGGCCGGAGGTGCCGCCCTCCTCTTAGTTGGCCGCCCCAGGCACCTGCTTGCTACGCTGGTGCCTGGAGCCGGCCCTGTACCCTGCTGTGGGTGGAAGACAGGCACTAAATCGATACAGACAGAGTTAGCAAATGGGCCTACATTTCTGTCTTGATTAAGGAGAAGTAAGGCAGATCAGTCACGCAGCATAACCAGAGCCATCTATCCCCCAAGCTGTTCATAGTAGCAGAGCGCTTGCGTCTCAGAGCTTGGGGTCAGGTCAGCTGTCCTTTACTCCCCTGCACAGGGGCTGTGAGAGGATGTGTCTACACTGCAACTGGAAGTGTGACTGCAGCATGTCTTGAATCTAGCCAGCTCGGGTAACAACAGCAGCGGCGCTGTGGCAGCACCGGTTCGCCACGTGAGCGCTCAGGTGGCCCGCCCACGCTGAAGCCCAAACTGCTGCAGATTCACTAGCTAGATTACAACTAGCTCAGGTATGTCTGCAGTGCTGCAATCAGACCTCTGTCTGCAGTGTAGATGTACCGTTGGCCCTGTTATACCAATATTAATACAGACCAGGTCTGACCTTAAACCCTTAAACCTCTCTGTCGTATCCACCCATATAGCCCCCAATGCCATAGGATCTGAGAAGCTCACAATCTTTGCTGTATTTGTCCTCCCAACACGGCTGGGAGGTAGGGCAGTGCTATTATCCCCATCGTATGGGGGAAACTGAGGCACAGTACCATTTTTAGGCACCACTGTGCTCCACAAAACTCCCGCTGGCGACCACCTAACCCCGTAGACACCTAAAACTGCTCGGTGCTTATGTTTTTGGAGTAAAAGTAGCTTTGGTGCCTATGTTGCTGCCTCTGAGCATGGCAGTGCACCTCAGTCTAGGTGCTGGGGCGCCTATCTCCCACCTAAGCCCCAGGGCAGTTCCCAAACCGGGGAAGACAAGAGCTTGGATGCCTAGGTCACGTGTGGGGCTCAATCCAGTAGGTGTGTTCAGAGGCCGCCCCAACTCCACACCAAACAGGAGGGGGAGGAGGACCCCCTCCCTGATAACACTGGGCTGAAGATTATGGCATGCACCCTGGACCTGGGTGACTCCCAGTTCAAGTCCCTCTCTGCCAGAGGAGGGGGAAAGCGTTTGAACAGGGATCAGCCACCTCCCAGGTGAGAGTGCCCTAAACCCTGCACTGAAGGTTATCAGGGTGGTCCTCCTCTTCTCCCCTACAGCTATTCTGCGTGGAGGCCTCCAAGCACCGATAGCAGATCGACCACCTGAATGCCTATCTTCCCCCAGTGTGTGAACCACAAGAAGCGCCAGGTGCCTCCCTGCAGCCCGGACTTCGGCGCCAAGCTCAGAGCAGGGGAGGGCTTAGCACTCTCACTGGCATCTCCCATTGGCTAGCTCCCACTCCACCTCACATGTTTACTACATTCTAAGGTGCCTGCTTCTCCACCTTCATTCTATAGAGAGCCCTGGCACCTAACTTGGTTTTGTGGATCTTTATATTGTTCCTGTGGTTTTCGTCACAACACCTAAGTCTTTTTTTGTGGATCCAGGCTTGAGAGACTAAGTGACTCACCCAAGGTCACCCAGAAAGGCTGTGACACAGCAAGAGCTTGACCGGGGGTCTCTCTCTCTCTCAACTCCCAGGCGAGTGCCGTAAGCACTAGGACATCCTAATGTTCACGCTGAACTGCTGCAAGTTTCTCACGTAGACAAGCCCACAGAGACTTGGACGGCTTCAGAAACCCGCCCTAACAAACGGATGTTTGCACAGTACATGAAAGCCTATCAGCGCCCCAGCTGAGCAGGCCAGGGGGACGCTCCATTAGCTCAGCTGGCAGGGTTGCTGTCTGTCTGCCCCAGTTCATATCTCGCTGCAGGATACAGGCAGATTTAACAACAGTGTGTAAATCTGCCGGGAGTGTCTCACAGACAGAATGCAGAGTCACAGACTTTTTAGGAGCATGGAGAACATTAAACTGCCTCTGATCTATGGAAAATGAGAACGCCACTAAAATACCATGAGCAGCGTCGTGCTGGGGCCCTGCCCGCTCTATCCTAACCCAAAACCAGGGGGGGCCTTCTGCGTTTTCTCTTGCAAGGCTGGCATTGCCCCGGCAGATGGGCTGAAAGGAAGGCGGCAGTGCCCAAGGAGAACTCTGTACTGCTGCCCTTATGATGTTTGAGGATCCGGGAATGGCACAGGCAGGGCATGGAAGAGGCAGCCTTCTTGCTCCCATCTGAGACTGCACTTCCTGGCAAGGAGCTAGGTCAGGTGATGAAGCTGTCTCTTTGCAACTGCGTACATATCTGCTTCAGCTTGCGCGGAGCTGATCTCACCAGAAATGTCTGATTGGTGCCTCAAAGGCAATTGTCTCTCTTCCTATCTGAGTTTATCTTTAAAGGCTCGGTTGAGTTACCCACTCTCCCATAATAGGAAAAAAGTTCCCTGTGGTAAGAAAAGAAGGAGGTGATGTCACTGCAGCGAAACCTTTCTGATAACTTAGTAATGTCTACGGCCCAAAGCCTCGGTGCTTTGCTCAGGCAGAGCTCCCGGATGCTTTGCGTGAGTCAGGACCTGGCCTGTTGGCTTCAGTGGGAGCTTTGAAATGAGAACTACTTAGCAA